TGAAATTATCTTTGAAATAAAAATATCATTTTGTTTTGGAAATGAGTCGGCTTGCCTAGTTCCCCGATAGGCGCCATCACGACAGGGGTTAGTTTTGGGTCGTGACAGTAGTAGAATAAGGATGTAATTATGATAGATGAAGGAGGACGTTTGGGCCTTCGATTGAGTAATGATTTGAAAAAAAGGATTTCAGGGACGACACAGGATTAAAATACCCACATAAGGTGAATCACATTGGGATGCTATGAAATACGGTTATAAAAGCATGATATCGCCCTAGGTGGATAAGTCTAATCATTTCAGATGTTCCCCGATGAGACGTGAGCCCTAGCGACAATATTACATAGAAGGTCAAGTTATCAGTGGTAGATTATAAATCAATATTGAGGTGAATCAACAATGGATGGATAAAAGTTATAAAGTATGAGATGAGATTAGGTCGTCATTCTTAAGATGAACAGTAGTGAAGAAGCATTAAAGGACTTAGATTTATGCATATGGGATAAGCAAAGAAAGTAACCTGGAGTTTGATAGCAGACCTCAGTAACGATAAATCGAGGTAAGAGTTATGGTATAGTATAACAGACTTAGATGCAGTAAAGTCATGCGGATAGATAACCTGGCCTATGAAATAAGATATAGCAATATCAGTAAGTTCAACAAAGTACCGAGCGAAGAACTTCAGTATACCTATGGATGCCCAGAAGGACATCTAGTCAAGCTCTGTATATGTTTACAAAGTGAGGCCTAAAGATTGGCTAGAAACTGGAGGGAAAAAAAGAGAGAGAAGAATCGTATAGGCGCACTTACAAGGTCATAGCCGTACATGCTGCATGATAAAAGGTAGTATCAGTTACAAGATTGAAAGGATTCCGATCACAAGTCATGGTGTGAGAAAGAGGCCTAAAGGGGGGAATGCCCTGATCTTTGAATTTACTCACAGAACAATTGCCTAGATGGCAAGGAGAGTACTAAAGTATTCGTAAGAGCTATAGGTTATGATAATGATAAGTGCATCAGTCAACATTCGAGAACGAATGTTCCAAAGGGGGGAATAATGTTAGACCCCATATTTTGGTACGTAAAAGTACGCCGTAAGTAAATTGATATAAGCTCGGAAATAAGATGTTACATCCCGCATTTTCGTACGTTAAAGTTTCGTCGTAAGTTAATCGACGTAAGTTCGGGAAAGAGATTATTTTGAGATTATAAGCATTATGCTATTTCAACAAGCGATGAGTAAATTCGTGAAGGTTAAAGGGTAAACGAATCAAAGAAAGTGAGTTTCGTCGAAGGTTGTCGATTTGGGATAAAATACGGTTCGAGCTATAATACCTCATATTCATGGACTAGTTTCATATAAGGTACCACATGACCATGATAGTAAGGTGTATAAAGTATGTTAAAAGCGAGTAGTATTTTAAGTAATTTGAGATAATTTCTAATTATGTGAATAATTGATTAATTATTGGGTAATGAGAAATTACCTAGTTAATTAAGGAATTATTGGGTGATTAATTAAAGAATTGGATAAGATTAAATTTTTCCAACGTGGCAACCCACCCTTCAAACTAATGACTCTTGAATTACATTGAAATGTGGCAAATTAAAGGCATGCGGTTAAGCCACCACATGAAGTGAGGACCACACCCATTCAATATAAGGCTTCTCTACTTTAGCATATATCAAATGCTAAAGTAGATCTTCAAGAATTCAAGAACGTGAGCTTTCATGGGTCTTCAAGAATTCCATAACGTGAGCTTCCATAGATCTTCAAGAATTCAATACGGTGAGCTTTCATGGATCTTCAGGAATTCAAAAACGTGAGATTTCATAGCTTCTTAAGCAACATGAGATTTTGCAATTATAAGGGAGTACGGTGCAATCTTTCTCAAAAATATCATACGGATTTTTTCATACTCCAGGTATGTTAAGGCTATCTCTTCTTTCTTTTTGGCATGATCCATACGATACAAACAAAATGAGTAAACGCACAATTTTCATAAATGATTCTATTCATAGAAGTACTAGGAGTGTCTATATTCTTGATTCCCCATGTGAATTATTATTATATCCTCTGTTCATGGGTCTCAGAAAAATACGTATTTGATAAAGTTTATCCGAAAGACATATTTATTTTATGATATTCCGAAAAAATTTATTAACGTATTTTTTATGCATTTCATGCATTTATACATGTACATTGACCCATGACCAGATGGCGTTATATACGCGTATGTTATATATATGGGATATGGGAAAAGGTTACGACGTTATATACGCACCACCACATGATCAGCTGGTATACATTGATGATTTGCCCACAGTGGCCGAGATGATATGATGGGATGCCCTCAGAGGCTTGATGATGTTATGCACGCATATACCTATGCATGGTATGGCATTTATACGCATATGCATGGCATTGTAAATATTAATGATTCACAGAGTTGTTCAGACTTACATGTTGAATCTTTTACTCCATGTTTCTTTCATGTCAATTATTTACTTATTTTCATTCCTTAAATAGTCGGTACATTATTTGTACTGACGTCCCTTTTGCCTGGGGAAGCTGCGTTTCATGCCCGCAGGTCCCGATAGACAGGTCGAGAGTCCTCCAAGTAGGCTATCAGCTCAGAGGAAGGTGTTGGTGCGCTCCATTTGCTCCGGAGTTGCTTGTTTGGTCAGTATGATTTAGACGTGTATTGTTTGGTATGGCGGGACTCTGTCCCGACCTTTATGATAATTATGTATTCTTAGAGGCTTGTAGACAGATGTCATGTACGTAAAAGTTTGTATGGCCTTGTCGGCCTATGTTCAGTGTACGAGTGGTTATTTCGGTCTTATAGGCCCGCATATCTTATGTATAAGTTGGTATTTCATGTTGTATTCTACTTATCTCACGGCAGCCTCTCCGGCTCAGTTATCTATGATAGTATGATACGAAAAGATACGTTATGTTGGTACTCGATTGAGTAAGGTACAGGGTGCCCGTCGCGTCCCATCGGTTTGGGTCGTGACATTAGAGTAGCAACTTAAAACAACTTGCACAGTAACTTGCAGTAGCAGCTTACACAATAGCTTCCTTTCTTCTATAAATAGAGGAGAATTCAGTTCATTATGTACATGGATTTGAAATTGAATAATATATCAATCTCTCTCTACTTGTCTTCGGTTTATTTACTTTTATAGTCTTTATTTTATAACAATCAAATTTATGCGATTTTTACAAATACTTCTCGCGTAAAATGATAAAAAGACAAAATTGCCCTGTCACAATGAACAATTTGCTAAAGCACAAGGGTAACATGGGCAAGTGGCAATTAAAACAAATACACTAGCAGACTATTAATAGTTGTTATTTTGGAATATTATACTTTCCGAAAATGACTTTGAATTTAATTTATTTTCCTCAGCTTGTAAACCCCACCACCTGATGATTTAAAATAGATATCCGTAGACTCAAATATTGAAAAATACTCCTTTCCAAGACCCAAACTGATAGACAAACAAGAAGCAAAATGGCATAGTCCAAGTGTAGATGATTTATTTCAAGGTTAATGATATTCAAGTTTGATATCCTTGTTCATTACGCTCTCACATGTCTGCTTAAAAGAAAATGTATTGGTAAACTCACAAGAATATGCTACAAATTAAGATGGAAGATAAGGACATAATAGTGTTGAGAATTAGGATCTCTACTGGCACTGCAATTTTCTCTCAAATGCATGTTATGTAATATTCAAAATTTCACAGGGGAGCTTGCATTGCAAACTAGAATATGAGGGCTGCTATGCCTTGGATATATGGCAGTCTGCAAGTCCAGCTCTATGGTTGTGAAGGCATTGGCGATGTTGGAGGCTTGAAATCAGGATACTGCATATAACATATTCAAAGCAAAAGATGTTAAACTTGACAGATCAACAGTGAACATAAAGTATAGCTTATATATGGTGTATGGTAACAATCTACAACTCAACAATAGCACAATCTCAGAACTTGAAAGAGAACCATTATCACTCATCAGACCATTGATAGAGAGGGTGCACTAGGACTGGAAGATGTCGCATGCGGATATCGTTCAGGGAGTTAGAACGAAATGATGAAAGAAGCAGTTCAACATGGAAAAAAGAAACTTACATTAGGATAAGGTGAGAGTGGCCTTGAACTTGCAGGTAGTGCATCTGCCTTATTGACTGAATTGACCTCTTGAGTAGGCTGGGAACTTGCTTCTACTTTAGGTGGTGCTATATCTTCCTGAGGAACTGATTCAGTTTTCTCAACAGTGCCAGTGGCTGCAGCAAGGCTTTCCTCTGCAGGTGCAGGTAGAGCATCGCTACTCACCGTCTCTGGAAGGAGAGCCTTCCCTATTTGCTGAATTTTCAAGGCGAGGAAAAAAAAACACGATAAACAAAATTGTGATTTTGAAGAAATATACTAAACCAAAATTTTGTTCTTCTCTGGTATGGGAACAAATATCTTGAGAAGATATGGAGATTGCCTTAATCTCATCTACAAGCTCCTTTGGAGCAACCTTAGTAGTGAGAAATTCATCAACTTGTTGCAGAGTTTGCTTTCTGTCCTGCAAAGGGAAAATATTGTAATATTAAAGGACCTGTCACATTTAATAACTTTGATCCCCACGATCATTATCTATTTTAAGACAGACTAGGAAGAGTTAGGTCGATAAAGTCACTCATTCTACTTGCAACAGGCAAGAAAGGTATTCACTGCAAATAGCACCAACAAACCTCTGCAAACAGGAGTTTCTTGCCAATCAGTTGGACAAGTGCAGCTGAACCTAACAGTTGCAGTATTGTTTCTACCTGAAAAAGGAACCAATAGTAAGCTTTGCACTAAATTGAGCTCAGTATACAATGAGGGAAAAAGAAGTTAGAGTCTGACCTCTGAGAAGGCTAAAATTCCTAGCCCAGCAGCTGCGGCAGCACCTAAGCCTACAGTAACAGCATCAGAACCTTCCTGTATATCCAAATTCCAACTAAGTTCTTGCATTGAAGTTGAGCATGTTAAAATAAGAAGCCAATATAGTGTATGATCAAGTAGCTCTAGACTACTAATTCACCATGTTCCCTTGTAAATTTGATAATTGCGCAAAGTTAACGAGTCTATGAAAGTGTGCATCTTAATTAAAAAATAATTTCAGGTCTTAAAACAACAGAATCAGTCATGGGGCAAATGAGCAGTTGAATGTAGGAAGTTCATCATAGAGCAAAACTTTGATTAGGGCGGGCTTCAGGGGAAAATAGGAGAAGATGGGTGACACAAGTTTTAGGAGGTGCAAGTGAGAGAGTTTGTGATATGTCACTAGTCTATCACTACCATACTATTCACTTGGAATTTTTTTGAGAAATGTGGAGTAGAATGCAGAAAAGCAGCAAAACAGATTTCTGCAAGAGCTCCCAGCATTTTCCGAATTTTCATGGGCATTCTCTGAACCAAACATAACTTGAAAATATTGGGTATGCCATATCATTGTCATGTTAAGATTTGCATCCAAGTTATAGTAACATCATTGTGTACCTTTTGAACTTCTTAATGCAACTAAGGCATCTTAAACTTCTTGTGTGCACTGCGACCTGATGAGTTTGTGCTACGTGCTATTTGTGATCTGTTGTACGATCTTACTTTCAAATATATTAGGTAACCCTAGCATGCATCACCTTATCTACATGGCTTCTTGTGCTGGAAACAAGCCATTCTCCTTCCCGTTATGTTAGATTTCCTAAATGAACCACAATCCTAGTGCTGGCAACAATATCAAAGCCTTTTCCATATGAATTCAGCAACTCTAATTGCTACCAAATGTAACTAGTTTGGAGTCAGAGAAAAGCGAATGCAGTTGATGTTCTTGAAATCAAATGGGATTATCACATCTAGTAATTAGTACCATGGTTAAGAAAGAGGAACATACCCCAAGAACACCATCAAGAGCATCGGAGAGATTGCTCAGATCAAGACTTAATGTTTTCTTAGGAGCAATCCAAGGAAGGCCACTGTTCTGCAGAAAGTGGAATTCGTTAAGCTTCATACCACCAACTTGTTTTAACAAATAAATTAAGTACAACTAAATTTGTGAATACCAGCCATCCTCGGGGTCCTTCAGCACCATCTTTTACCGCATAAGCAGCTTTAAATCCATTTGCTGTGACTAGCTCCGCAACCAGCTCAGAGTTCCCATCAAATCTGGCTTCATTACAATTAATAAAGAGATAGGAATAGATTCATTTTTACGAATAGTTGGCTCATACAAGAACTCCGTACATAAATCTCTATAAATTTTCAGTTTGCCTACTGATCCTTGATCTGTGCCTTTAAACCGTTGATGCAAGACCTAGAAGACTAAAGATTTTCAGAGGTAAATCCAAACCCCAAGATCAAATTAGATAGTTGAAAGTTCAAGAAATCCACATTGAGGCCTATGATATGAAGTCTAATACTCTAATAATGAAAACCTTCTGAGACTCACTAGCTGTTATCCTCTTCAGTCGAAACAGTTTTAAATTATAGCCAGTGAGTAGGTTAACATCCGATGTTAACTTTTTCATATCTTAAATGGGAAAAGAGAGAATTTTCAAAGGTTTGGAATATAACTTCTTGCAAATTTCCATGACTGTCTAAATGGTCACCGCATGTAAGATGGTGAGCATAAGAATTATCTTAAATGATGTCAGCACAAGCAATCCTCAAAAAATTAATTTTTAGTTACATCTTGCTGCTAATGTTTCACAAATACTTCAGCAAGATAAGCTAAATACCCACATACTATCAGATGAAAAAATAATTAACCAATTCTTTTCAAATCTTACTTGTCTAGAATGAACAGTGTAGTATTCTCAGGATCCTTGAACTTCAAAGCTAGCTTTTTTAAGAACCCAGGCTTATCTTCACCCTTATAAGCAACTGTAACTGGCTTCTTCTTCAAACCCCTTATATCTGGACTCCCTACTTCCCTCAATTCTGCAGGTGCTCTTATATCAAGCAGCTGTGCACTTTCATCATCTCCCAATTTAGCATAAGCTGTCTTAGCAGATTCAACACCCCATGACTTAGGCTTTTCAAGAACCTGAAACAGAACCAATGGCAAAGCCAAAGCAACAACTCCACCAACTATGACCAAAGGATTGTCTGATGCAAAAGTGGTCACAGTTTCAACAACTGCAGTTGCATCAAAGTCAGCAGCAGGACTGGTTGTAGATTGCTCTAGTGCCTCCTCATATGTTAATGCTTTAGCTAAACCTGTAGTTAGAGCTGAGGATAGAAGTACTAAACCCCCTTGAACATTTCTTGATAAACTCTCTACTGAACAAAGATTCTTGAATGGGAAAGAAATGGGGTGTGATGGGATTTTTTTTGGTTCATTTCTTCTATCAGATAGAACAGAGAGAGGTGTCAATCTTACTGCATGAATGGCCTCCATAGCATAATTCTTTATCAAAAATTATAGTGGAATTTCTATGGGGTCTCAAAGAGAGTTGATTGGAAGTTTTCTAGCTATACCATAAGATGAGGAAATTGTAATACTAGCTAATTTTGATTGATATCTACCAAAAGTTTTTAGCTTTTTGGCATATTTCATCATCAATTGGTGTAATTTGGCTGATGTAGTGTGAAGCTAGGGAGGTAGTGACGTGGAAGGAGAGGTGGATATCCTACCAGTCGCTGGATTCCACGTGTCACATAAGATCATAGAGCTGTCGATCATGTAGACCAATTTACAGATGGATCGAGAAATTTATTGTGCTGAGGCAATTGTGTGGCCAGGAATTAGTGCAGAAAATGATGATTTTCTAGAGTACCACTTCATTTTGCTTCACTTCAGTACACTGTACTCCAGTACTGGACATCTTGATTTTTCCACTAGCCTCTAAACAAGCAATGAACAAAGCTCATTTTTCATAATAAAAATTTTGTAAAAATTGCACGAGCTGGCTATTTTTCGGATTGATAATTAATAAATAATCAGTATTTACAGAGTCATTAAAAAATAGTCACTATTTTGTTATAACACGAAAAGTTTCGATATAATATGCTGGAGATTGGAGCACCCGTGTATGAACTTCCAGCATAGTATGCTTGAACAGTATATTATGCTGGAACTCCAGTATATTATGATGGAGTTACAGTATAATATAGTGAAACTACTCCACTATATTATGCTGGAAGTTCACGTGTAAAAAATTCGAACTCCAGTATATTATGCTGGAATATTTTTCGGATTTTAAATAGTATTTTTGTTCGAATTTATCTTTATATAAAAAGTAGCTAAATTTCGATTATTTTTAAAATTATGACTATTTTTCAATGCTATTTATGAATTTTATCCAAAAAATTTACTACGTCTCCAACGAATTAGCAGTCCAGAAGCTGCGTAGTCCGAAGTTGGAAAAGGAATCTGTGAATGAATAATAAATGGTGACAAAATATCAACAGAAATAAACTGATAAGTTGGTTTAACTGAATTTTATTCTTTAATCACTTCGGACTAAATAAAACACAAGAAATTTTTGTATGGCCGCTTAACTTATTTGCTTACACATTAATAGACTGAATCCTTTAATATATTTGCATTATTTATATGATTAAGAAAAATAATATTATGACTCTTCCATTATCGGTTGATATGGTCATATGTATAGTACTCTTATAAATACATATTATTCACAATTTTGTTTCATTATAACTTATGATAAATGTGTATTTTATTAACTTATTATAAAGTATTTAATAAATACAAATTGAAACTATCAAATGTTGATCAATATCTTACTTTTCATATTCACTTTTATATGACTGACAGAACTTTTTATTTATTTTGTGAAAATTCACACATTTATCTCTTTTAAAGAATAATCAAATTGTTATAAATATATTATATTATGGATGTTCATTTAGTATTCCGTTGAAAATAAACTTCCTGAAGAAACTTATCTATATGAGACTCCGCCGTAAATATGTTTATCTATTTAGTACTTTATTGGAAATAAGTCTCCTGAAAAAACTTATCCTTTCAGTACCCCGTTATGAATAAATATCACACCCGGTAGAAGATTATCTATATCTGGTACAATGAGCTTATCCTTTCGGTACCCCGCTATGGATAAACATTACCATCAGTAGAAGATTATCTATATATGGTATAATGAGCTTATCCTTTCGGTACTCCGTTATGGATAAACATTACTCCCGGTAGAAGATTATCTATATCTGATATAATGAGCTTATCCTTTCGATATTTCGTTATGGATAAACATTACCACCAGTAGAAGATTATCTATATCTGGTACAAAAGCAACTTACACAACAACTTACTTTCTTCTATAAATAGAGGGGATTTTAGTTCATTATTTACATAAGTTTGAAGTTTGAATAATATATCAGTTTCTCTCTATACTTGTCTTTACTTTACAACATTTATTTCATAACACGTTATCAGCACGAGACTCTGCCATCTCGAGCAAATACTTTGAAAGTATCAGAGGTACGAACTTTCTTTTTCTAAATAATGTCAAATATTTCTAAACTTAAGTTTGTAGCCCTGGATATATCAGGCAAAAGTTACATGTCTTGGGTGCTTGATGTTGAAATCTATCTTGATGCGATGGGTCTAGCAGACACCATCATGGACAAAAATCAAGCACCAAATCAAGACCGTGCCAAAGCAATGATATTCCTACGCCATCACCTTGATGAGGGCCTGAAAATGGAATATCTCACTATTAAAGATCCAGTCATACTATGGAATAATTTGAAAGATAGATATGACCACCTGAAGATGGTCGTTCTTCCACAGGCACGTTATGATTGGACTCATCTAAGGCTACAAGATTTTAAATCTATCAGTGAGTATAATTCTGCTATGTTCAGAATTATTTCCCAATTGAAATTATGTGGTGATAATATTACTGATCATGATATGTTGGAGAAAACTTTCACCACTTTTCATGCCTCGAATATGCTCCTGCAGCAGCAATATCGAGAAATAGGATTCAAAAGGTATTATGAACTTATCTCACATCTTCTTATAGCCGAGCAACATAATGGGCTATTAATGAAAAATCATGAAAGCCGACCTACTGGTTCTTGTCCATTCCCTGAAGTGAATGAGACGAACTTCCACCAATCTAAGCGTGGAAGAGGACGTGGCCCCAGTCGTGGTTATGGCCGTGGTCGGGAAAGAAACTCTAATCATGGTAATAATAATACACCAAAGAACCTTCCTCACCACCAGCAGTGGAAAAGAAAGGAGCAAAAGCATGAAGCGGTGCAAGCAGCAAAGCCAGAAAATGCATGCTATAGATGTGGGGTAAAAGGGCACTGGTCACGTACATGTCGTACGCCAAAGCACCTGGTTGAGCTATATCAAGCTTCCCTGAAGAAGACAGAAAAATGCTGAAGCAAATTTTATTTCTGAAGATAATTTAGACTTTATGCATTTGGATGTAGTTGATTACTTTGCACCCCCGGAAGAAGAAATAAGTCATGTGATCGGTGATGAATCTGTAGAGATGTAAATATTTTAATTGTTGTTGTTTGTAGTAGATAGTATGGTTATGTAATTGTTGTACATAAATAAAAGTTATGCTTTGATAATGATGTTTACTATCATATTTATTTTGTTTATGTCATTTTAAAGAATATGGATAATCCTCAAATTATGTTTGGATCAAAGACCAATCATGAAGATATTTGTGTAATTGATAGTGAAACAACTCATGCCATATTCAAAGATCAGAAATACTTTTCTTATTTGCATAAGGAAAAAGCAAATGTTTCAACTATTTATGGTAATATAAGTTTAATTGAAGGCTCCGGAAGAGACACTATATTTCTGTCTAAGGGAACAAAATTTATAATAGAGAATGCATTATTCTCCTCCAAGTTCCGATGAAACTTGTTGAGTTTTGTGGATATCCGCCGAAATGACTATCATGTTGAGACAATAAATGAAATGAATATGGAATATCTTTATATTACAAAGAATGTTTCTGGCCAGAAGTGCATTGTAGAAAAGTTACCAACTTTATCTTCTGGCTTATACTATTCAAAGATTAGTATATTTGAAGCACACTCTATCGTAAACCAGAAGTTTACTGATTCAAATATTTTTGTGCTTTGGCATGGCCGTTTGGGCCATCATGGATCAATAATGATGAGACGAATTACTGAAAATTCGAGTGGGCATCCATTAAAAAATCTAAAGATTCTTACAAATAATGAATTTTCTTGTGATGCTTATTATCAAGGCAAAATGATCATCAGACCATCACCAATGAAGGTTCGCGTTGAATCCCCTGCCTTTTTAGAACGTATACATGGGGATATATGTAGACCTATTCACCCACCAAGTGGGTTGTTTATATATTTTATGGTCCTAATAGATGCATCTTCAAGATGGTCTCATGTGTGCCTACTATCATCTCGCAACCTGGCATTTGCAAAGCTATTAGCCCAAATAATTTGATTAGCGACACAATTCCCAGATTATCCTATAAAGGCTATTCGCCTTGATAATACTGGAGAATTCTCATCTCAAACTTTTGATGATTATTGTTTATCAGATTGGGATAAAAGTTGAACATCTTGTAGCTTATATTCATACTCAAAATGGCCTTGCAGAGTCGTTTATTAAACGTCTGCAATTGATAGCAAGACCACTACTTATGAAAATAAAATTGCCCACTACTGTTTGGGCCCATGCTATCTTGCATGCATCATCACTTATCCGTCTCAGACCGACACATTATAATAAATATTCTCCGTCACAATTAATTTTTGGTCATGAACCAAATATTGCCCATCTACGAATTTTTGCATGTGCTGTATATGTGCCAGTAGCACCACCACATCACAGTAAGATGGGCCCGTAGAGAAGATTATGAATATATATTGGGTTTGAATCACCCTCTATTATTCGCTATCTTGAACCATTGACGGGAGATTTATTTACTGCTTGATTTGCAGATTGTCGGTTTGATGAAATAAATTTCTCACAATTAGGGGGAGAGAAAAAAGAAATCAAAGGAGAAATTGTATGGAAAGTTTTATCATTATCCCATTTTGATCCACGTACCCCTATATGTAATCAGGAGGTCCAGAAGATAATTCATTTACAAAATATAACAAATCAAATGCCAGACGCGTTTAATGATTTGAAAAGGATAACTAAGTCACATATCCATGCAGAGAATGAGCCTATCCGAATTGATGTCACAACAAGACCATCTACTAACATAAGAGCTAGTGAACTTAAAGCACGCCTGAAGCGTGATAGACCTTTAGGTTCTAAGGATCGAAATCCTCGAAAAAGAAAAACAACAAATGATCAAAACGATACTATGAAGGGATCCTCTAAAGAGACTCCAAGATCTGATTAGTTCTGAGATTCCTGAAGAAATCAATGAACCCGAGACTCAAGTGAGTGAGAAGATTTTAATAAGTTCTACTGGTGAAGGAATTAATTTAAATCGATCTGAAATAGTGGTGGATAATATTTTTGCATACAATGTTACACTTAACATTATGCAAGATAGTGAGGATCTTGAACCCCGATCTGTCGAATAATGCCGACAAAGATCTGATTGGCCAAAATGGCAAGAGGCAATTCAATCATAATTGAACGCACTTGCTAAAAGAGAGGTCTTTGGACCAGTAGTCCAAACACCTGCTGGTATAAAACCAGTTGGTCATAAATGGGTTTTGATGAGAAAAAATAAATGATAAAAATAAAATTGAAAGATACAAAGCTCGCCTTGTCGCGCAAGGATTCTCACAATGACCTGGAGTCGATTTTGATGAAACATATTCACCTGTTATGGATGCCATAACATTTCGATATCTCATCAGTTTAGCACTACATGAAAAGCTTGAAATACATCTAATGGATGTAGTTACAGCTTATCTGTATGGTTCACTTGATAATGAAATTTATATGAAAATTCCCGAAGGACTTAAAATGCCTGGAGCAAATCCATAATCTCAGGAAATGTATTCAATCACATTACAAAGATTTTTGTATGATTTAAAGCAATCTGGGCGTATGTGGTATAATCGCCTCAGTGAATATTTGCTTAAAGAGGGTTACATAAATGATGTTATTTGTCCATGTATTTTTATAAAGAAAATGGCATCA